TTTTATTGTCCCTCTTCTAAATCAAATAAATATAAACAGCCAAAAGTTTAACACAGAATTCTTTATCTTGAGACAGAGTACAGCATCGCTAAGGAAAATATTCTGAGATTCAAGTTAAAGGTATAATATGATTTTCTGTGGAATCTCAGAACTAAGAAGAAACACACACTTGAAGATTATATAAAGATTAAATCATGTAGAAAAGAAAACTACAAATGCCAACTATTAGCAACTGCATGTCCAGAGAACTTGGAAAAACTTGCTGACTATGAACTCTGAAAATATTATCCAAAATCCTTTTCCCAGTGGACTTATCCAAATCATACTAACAGACCTTTCAGAGCATAAATTGTTGACTGAACTCTAAAAGTATGTACACTGATTTAAGGGTAACTAATGGTGTCCATTCAATTCCAAATAATAATTTGATAATTGTTGACGAATATTTGACCTTTGCTTCAACCATTTAAGAACTAAACTGAAATTTCTAAAAATGAATACATTTCAAAAGCCTCAAAGTCTGTCTTAAATTTTATCTAAAACGTCTCTATTTCAAATACTAGCCTTATTTTTAAGCAAAACAACACAGTATTTTTAAGATTAATATCCAGTTAAAAAAATTTCAAAGATTTCCCAGGCATTGTGGCACATGTCCATATTTCCAGCACCCTTGAAGCTGAGGCAAAACTATCATGAATAGGAAACTAGCCTAGGCTACATCGTTAGAACCTGCCTCAAAAAGAAAATCAAAACCAAACAACAAAAGCAAAAAAAGTTCTAAAATATAAACATATGTGTATAGCTGGACACACTTCTGTAGCATTAAATAAAGCCATCTATTACTGGTTACCATGCAAAATTAGTCATCTATGTAACTGAAGTGCCGTCAAACTTTATCATGTAATAAACTGACCATCATCTTTCAGGTATGAGATCACCTAGACTGTCCACCAAAACTTCAAAATATATGTGATTTCTAGTATTTGTCAGATAACAGGTTAGATCATGGTGGCAATCTCTTTAAAACAAAAACCAAACCAAACCAAACAACAATAACAACAACAAAACGATTTAGCTCCTGAGTCATGGGTAAGAGTTTTTATTATACAAGAAATGCCATTTGCAGAACATCAGCCTTTACTCTGGTTGTCTTTGGGCCTGGTCACACCTAAACTTGGTGAGTTCCAGGAAAGCAGAGGAACCATGGTTTCATATGCTTGAGTATTTTTAAATAGGTATGGCATGCTGGCTTTTAGATCTTTCCAAATAGAATGCCCACTATACTAAACAATAAACATGCCTGCCCTTTGGTTCAGCAGGAGACACATTATCACCACTACAAAACTATTTTCAAAGAAGTCTTTTGCTTTAGAGGAAGATACTATTTTTCCAAGACTCTTAACTATACAAAACTAATCAACAAAGGCACTGCACTAAAGATGGGAAACAAATATTTTGGAAGGATTTTGAGATTTTATGAAACCTTATAATTTTTGTAGGTTCATAAATTAGAAAGTGATACTAACTTAACAAAAGCCCATCAAGCTTTCAAATGCCTAAAATAAAACAAACCCTAAACGTTGAGCATTGAAAAGAAAATGAAATTCAAGGGTGGACACGTACATGTTGGAATGTGCCACAACTTAACACAAGTGTGCAACTTGAAGGTTTTAATTGCTTTACCTGGCAAAAATTAGTGTTACTGAGCTCTTGACATGTGAACCTTGATAAATTTGAGAGTTATGTCTTAGTATATCATAAAAGCTAAAAAGAAAACATAGCTATAGATAATAATTAAGTAAGTTTTACAGAATTTAAAAACTGTCTCAAAGTTCAGGTGCAGGATATTGCACTTTGAAATGCAACCAGGAAAGGAATATGAAGAGAATCGCTTTTTTTTTTGTTCCTCTCAGATGTTTGAAATTTTGATTTCCAATGAAGTTCAAAATATTTCGAGCAGTCATACGGTTGCCATTTGGTTTTATTGAAACTCAGTGCTGAGAGAGATGGTTTAGTTGGATAAACAGAGAATATTCAGAGAACTATTGATTCAAAACAGATTCTTTTACCAGTTTAGCATGAATTCAGTTTTCATTTGCAAAAGAGGGTCAAAGAAGTTAATCCATCTATAGAAATGTTATTGTGAATAAAGAAGTGGATTTCAAGCCCTAGGAAAATATAAAACATGAGAGCAGATAGACATAGTCAGAATACAGATATCTGGCTTTTTTTCTAATAGCATTATATGTAATGTATTTTTTCAAATAACTTAAGTAACAATAATGTACATGTTAATGAGAACTTTTTACCTCTACTGCTAGAATAATATTAAGATGTAGAACCTACAACACCAGGAAACTAAAACATATCCAAAGAGGATGTGTTTTAAATATATATTCACTTCTACAAAAGAAAATATAAATTCAATGTCAGAAATGTTATTTGTAGCAAAGGATGGTGTCTGGGTGCATGTGTAATGTGTGTGTATGTGTGTGTGTGTGTGTTAGGCTACAGATTCCCTCTTCACCACAAAGTTCATTCTTTGTGGAATAATAGTTGCTCGGATTCCAACTGCTGCTTTAATATATAGGTTCATGCAAAGCTGAGCAGAGTAATGATGGGGTACTGTGGGTTGGAGTTTCCCATATGCATGGGAGAATGGGGAGAGGGCTTATTTTTCTCTATGAGACCATACTCAGTGACAGACTACATGAGTTCAATGCAATGGCATGTCTTCCCTTCCTAGTGACTATGGAGAAATAAACAAAAAACCACAACAAATGAAAAAACAAAAACAAAACAAAACAACAACAAAAAGCCAACTTTCCTTAACAAACTGAAGAGTGACCTATTCTCAAAGTGACTTTTTCTAATTCTGCTCATTTTTACATCTGAATTGAATGAGAAGACACCATCTCCCCAGACTAATTTGTTTAAAGGCCTTTCATTTACAGATAAATTGGTAGGGAAAGGTAAAGCCATCTTTTAGAAAGTAAAGGGAGAACATGTCAGGAGGTTGTTCATTTACTTTGTATAAATGCTCAGGTCAGTTCTTGTTTTCATTATAGTTCTATCTTGGAGTCTTGATGGCGGCAATATCCACTCAGGGCTGTTTCTTGTGGTTTCCAGGATCTCATGAGTTCTTTGAAAGGAATTATTGCCCACAAATCCAACCAGCTACTAATTAGTCAAAATTCAGTACAGAATTTCTGTCAGACTGCCTATGGGGTTGAAACAAAATTAAAAAACAAAACAAAACAAAACAAAAAACCTCTTCCTTCTTGATCTTTTTGTTCAAATTCATTATTTAAATTATGGTATTTCTTTCCTTGAGTTTATTCATAAGAAAATGTGGCAAAATTCAAAAAGTCATCTAATCCCTCTTCTGAAAATCAATATAATGAATAAAATGGAAAAAAAACTGGATCTATTAATGAAAGTCTTGAAATAACTAGCAAATGCAATCAATCCTGTTTTCTACTTTTCTTAAACTGGCACAAAATTAATAACCCTTTTCCTTATATCTACATAATACCTATTCTTCCATTTAATAGATGAGATACCAAGGCCCCCATAGGCATTACTCAATTCATTTAATAAAATAAGTCAGTGAACTTCATTGTTCTAGTTATTCATTTCCAAATAGCTCATACATATCAGTTTGAGACAGCATAAAATTTGTAGGACATTTTTTATTTTATCGGCTTTCATTTAACCAGAAAGTTTATGGCAATCTGAAATTATAGGATGATTATATTTGACATATTCAGTTTTCTGCCCTAACTTAACTCTAACTTAACTTTCTGCCCTTAACTGAATTCCTCTGAATGGTCTTCCTAAAGGGTTTCTATATTGATTTAGGCTTCCTTCAGCTTTATCAAAAATCCTGCTCAGCAGTTAAGAAAATGTATAATAATCTCAAATCAGTTTACCCAGAATTCTCCTCATCTCTGACATTTCCTGTTAGCAATTGTCAAACAACTCATTCTCTTCAATCTGTTCCTTGGCTCTCCATCTCCACTGGTCCTTTAGAATGAAATCCAATGTTTTCATCATCACACAAAACCCACACAAAACCCACTCCTGTGTAAAGTGTGAATTAACTACATTTAGGCAGTGTGCTGGATAATTTTTAATATAATAGCAGGTTTTTATAAGTAATTTTCAAGAATGAATCTTTCATGATTGTGAACATGTAGATAAGTTAAGGATAGGAACTCCCTATACTTTGTGTACCATAATCTACCTTCCTTCATCTATTGCCACAGTGCTTCCAGGCAGACACACTTTTTTCTCATGAATTTAAATGCCATCTCTAAACCTAACTTTCAAATATCATTTCAGAAAGTTGCTTTTAATCAATCAAGTCCTCTGTTTATGCTTATATATCTAGATGCAGTACATTTTAGGCAGCAAATAAAATGATCTATGCTAATGTCATATTTTACCTTAGGAAAAAAATAATCTCCCCCATTTTTAGATTCCATAGTATCCATTTTGATCTCCATAATGCCCAGGACAATTTCAACAATATTTATTCTTATTTAAGAAAAGAAGAATAAAGCAAGAGGAAGAAAGAAAGAAAGGAGGGAGGGAGGGAGAAAGAGAGGAAAAAAGGAGGAAGGTAGGAAAGAAAGGAGTAGGGAATCTAAGGGTAAAGAAAGAAATGGAATTTAATCATGATGACTTTGAAATAGGAACACTTCACATCTTTCAGCAGGAGTTAAATTATATAAATCTAATGCATAAAGAAGTTGACATTTAATGTAAGTGTATATACTACACAATTACATTGGGTTAATTATTCTTTACATATATAAATCTTCAAGGGTTTAGGTTTCTGCTTTATTAAAGAATACTTTATTGTTATTTACTTTCTTTACATTAAACTGGCAGCATTTCTAGAACGAAATATTGCTGTTTTATTCCTCATGAGTGACTAAATCCACAAAGCAGGTTGTGAAAAAAAATTAAGAATAATTGGGTAGATTAGTACTTACCAAGATATCTTTGCCAGCCCACTTACATTCATCCCTTCTGGTGTAAGATACTGGCCATACAATCTAAGGACAAAGAAGAAACATTATTTTCCTCCAATTTTCTCTTCAAGAATCTTAATTGCATTGTTTGTTTTCTCTCTTTCTCCTTTTCTCTCTATCCCTCCCTCCATTAATTGGTCCCTGCCCTTCCTCCCTGCCCTTCCTCCATCCCTCCCTCCTGTCTGTCTTTCTTTGTTTGATTCCTAAGGGAGTAGATGTTTAACTGAAGCATTGTATGTTCTGGAAAGATAAAGACAGAAATGAAGCCACAAATGCACAACCCTACAAAAAATTCACCCTCCTACTATGAACAAAACTCAAAATAGTTGAATATGTGTTTATGTTTTCAATTCTAATGTTTGATTACATTCTTCCAAATGGTATTTTTGTGAATATGGTGACAGTGTTAGATGGGCCAAAAATGATACTTGTGTCTTCGACAGTTTGCCATATTTTTCTTCATAATAATTCAGATACACTTAAATAAATCTTAACAAAATTTTACCAATATCCTGGACAATTCAGGATATTCTCTGCATTGGACAAAACCATTTATTGTACTGTTATTCAGCTTCCTCTTCTCGGAACAGTAAAGTTTGGGGAGAAAACATCCACATCAAAGAATGATCCACAGATGTGGCAGTTAATCCATCATGGTGCGGTAAAGCTTTTAGCTTCGTAATGATTGATTACTATTCACAGGAAAACCTTCATATAATTTAATATCAGTGTTTATAAACTTTAACAAAAGTTGTGATATTCAATCCAGTAAATTAAGGCCAAAATAGATCATATCCACGAACAAGAATTTGAGATATATTGAAATAACATATGATAGCTTAATAAATGAATTTCATGTTCATGTCAGAAATACAAGAAGCTTAAGAATAACTGGGTAGTTGCTTCTTTTTGTCATTAAGCTTTTGTATTGTATATTCTTTTCTTTAACATTCTTTTCTTTCCAAATAGGCCTATGTGTCCAAATTAAAACTGTCATCATTGACCAAGTTTCACAAGCTTTTTACCAAGTAGTCACATAATAAAAACATTCAAGAATAGTAAATAAGTCCTCCTGCAACCCACATTACTCTGATTCAGAAAATACTGTAGTGAGTTCAAGAGAGTCTCACCCGCTCCCACTCCATTTCTGTCTCCAGGTTGGTTGTGTAAATTCAAGTGACCTGTTCTGCAAACTTTTCTCTAAGATACCATAATAATATATGGCAGAGGGGAAATTTACTCCCTCTACAAAACAAGCTGTTTTCCCATTTGTTTCCTAGTTTTTGATTGTTATTATTGACCTCATTATGTGGATTTACTTTTATGCCACATATTCATATGCCACATATGCCACATTCTCTTTTTCTCCTTTGCTCACAAAAATCCCAATTAGCTAATGAAGCCTAAATTTTGGGCAGAGTATCACAATTTATTTTTCAATTGTTACTTGTAATGATTCTGTGCTTCTTTCATGGCAAGGCTTCTTTTCATATTTATTTGTCTTTGATACTGGGAAATCAAGTCTAGGGCTTCATGAACACTAAGTAAGCCCTCTATGGGCAAGCTGCAACCCAGCCCCCATTCATGTTTTTAATAAATGTGTTTTTCAGAACACTAGTTCCTCTAAACGTAAAAATGTGTTTGGCCTCTGAGAAATGGCTTAGTACCTTGTTTACCTTTAAGTTCACATAATTTATTGTTTCTATTACCTTGAAAAGTCAAGAAGGAGTATTTGTGATATAGCAAAATATCTCTTGTGGAATTCATTGTAAGATTGGATTCTTAGCCAGCACTGTTGGTTCACCCTTGTAATCTTAGCTACTCAGGAGGCTGAGATCTGAGGATCATGGCTGGAAGCCATCCCTGGGCAGGACAGTATAGATTCTTTTTTATTTTTTGTCGGTCATGGGGCTTGAACTCTGGGCCTAGACACTGTCCCTCAGCTCTTCAGCTCAAGGCTAGCACCCTAACACTTGAGCTATAGTGCCACTTCCGGTTTTCTGGTGGTTTATTGGAGATAAGAGTCTTACAAGCTTTCCTGCCATCTATCTGTCTAGCTAGCTGGCTAGCTATCCATCTATCTATTAACATATGAAGAAGTTGGTTATGGTGGTGGTAATGAAGTTTGAATTTAGGGTCCCACAGTTAATTAAGCAAATGCTTTATCAATTCACCCATGCCTCAAGCCTATTTTTATTTTAGTTATTCTTTATGAAAGATCTGTTATTTTACTTGGGGCCAATGTTGTAAGTAAAATCTTCCTTGGAATGAAAGCCTCCTACTTCCTGGTAGCTGGGATTGTAGATGCATTCTACTGCACCTGGCTTCCTCTTTCCTGGAGTGGGGGAACTCTAGAGTTCTGTGGGGACTGTGGCTGGCTACAGGAGATTTGACTGTGTGCTAGAAGTATGAACAATACCAGTGGAAAACTCTGCTTGTATTTATTATTATTATTTTTATTTTTAAATCCTATGCCTAAAGACACAGGCTTGTGAGTCCTTGGCCTTTTTCAATATTCCTGTCAAAAGGAAGAGTCCCTGTACATATTTAACTACGTTAGGATTCCTTACTGAGACTATTGAAGTACTTCCTGATTTTTTTTTGTCATTTATCTCTTTGAATGTACACTTTAGTCTATCTTCCTGTAACACCTTAGGTTTGTCTGGGCTAATTTGAATTTTTATTTATTTTTTTTGAAAGTAAAAAAAACTTTTATTACAATTTAGGACAAAGGATGAACAAATGTAGCAGTAGTATTCACTGGACATTATGTGGAAAATGAACTATACAACTTGTGGGTGAGTACAAGAGGGAAAAACAGGGAGAGAGCAAGAGAAGGGAGGTTGGAACTCTTCTTGTTTAACCCATATCTGTCAATTAAATGCCTTCCTCATCCCATGGTGATAATTTAAATATTAATTATTTGACAAACAACACACTGAGATATCACTGCATGGTCTCTCTTCATATGTTGCCCTAGAAGCTGCCAGTCTGAATTGACAGCTGTTTCACTGCCATCTACAATCTACAAACTACAAATCTTCCTGATTGAAATCTCTCATGTAACTGGGATTACATGTGTGTGCCACAATGCCCAGCCTTGTGCAAAAGTGATTTTACAATTCCCGAAAAACCCCCAAAACAAATGAATAACAATTTTCACAGAAAATAGATCATCTTAGGCACTCATGGAGATCAACTGAAGAAAGTTAGAAATCAATGAACTTCAAAAATTAGAAGAATAAAATCATGGTGATTTTTCAAGTGGCATAACTTTATAAATATGTCCTAAGCTCATAGCCATTTTGTATTTCTAAATATAATAAAGTTTAATTGTTTCAATGATGAAAGAAAAAGATGAATCTTATGTTTAATGCTACACCTATTGAATACATAAATCAACTTTGAATACAAACAAATCTTTATCTCCAAAACAGAATTCTCCAACAATGACAAAACATTGGCACAATTAGCCACTTTTTGAAGGTTATCATCCATCCTGATTTAATTTATGAGTGGTTGAGGCATACCACTTTATTGACCTCGTTGCTAAGAAGTAAAATTAGCAAATAGCTTCCATAGGAAGCTAAGTGGTAAGGGAAAGCTGACAGAATATATGTAAATGAGTAGAAGTGCCTAAGTTCTAGTAAATTTTTGTTCCTAAACTAGGTAGCACATCAGTTCATACATGTTGGTAATTGCTTGCTAATTTTATACATGATAACAATATCATGAGAAGCAGAAATTTATACACACATATAAACATAAGTAGTATATGAACTCAATTCTGACATATTTCTATAATAGTTTAGGTATTTGAGTATATGTAAGAAAAATATATAATTATGAACAGATATACAAAAGTGAGAAGTTTTTTCAAAGTTATCATTTATTTCTTAGTAATTTTTATTACCTACCACATACATTTGTTATTGTCATTAATTTATTTGCATCTGAATTGAGAAAGTATTTATTTAAAACAATTTTCTATAAATTGTCTGTCCTGGAGTTAAATACTAGAAAATTCTATAAAACATATGTAGTGTATATGTTAGAATAAATATACCTTTTGAAAATCCTTGATATTAACCAGGTTGAATGAAAATATGTGGTCCTTTGCTCCAACATACAGCCTACTCCGTTCCTCATCCAAAAGAAAAGTATGGTAATTGGAGCTGTTGGCCAAGCCATTGAAAGTAATCACATTGTTGGATTCCAGCATTTCTGCAAAGTAACAAAACAGGGCACTGACATTAATGTGAAGTTCTACATAAACAGAGACTATTGGTATATGATCATCCTGTTGTTAATAGTTAGAACTTGTTCCATGGCACTGAAAGATACATAGGAATTAAACTGTTACATTTCATTGAATGGGACTCATCTACATCCATTTGCTGATTTCAAACACAAGATGTGCATACCCAAAGAACAGAGGGAGAGAAATAACTTGTCTACACATGCTGATTTAGAAGAATCTACTCACATGTAGCAATAGATCTGACTGGCCAGTACTATATATATATCATGTTCTTTAATATTATGTGTTTAATGTTATGCTTGTTTATTTTATTTGTTTTAAATCATTTGTTTCAAGCTAGTAGGTTAAGCATAAGTGTGTAACAAGGCACCCTGACTATAAATGGATGGAAATTAGCTGCCTCTACAGATCTAGGGGTTATGCCATTGGATAGATTAAAAGAGAGCTATGTATCATATTGAAGCTATCATTCCTATTCTTATTGTTAAAAATTATAATCTACCTTAGAAGTCAAACTAGATAACCAAATAAATTGAAAGATAAATAAATGAAAACTGAACCAAACCAATCCAAAAAGACAAAAACAATATTAGTTCATAATAAATCATGAAAAGTTAAAAGAATAATTAAAAACTGAAAAAGTCTTATGCAGGATACACGAGTGAATTTTCATTTGAACCACCCAGATGACACATAAAACAACTTTGAGCATCAGATAGAAGAAAGTATAGAAAAAGAACTACCTTAGCTACAGATTGGGGAATTATTTTATAAGAGTTAGTGTGAAAGTAAAATTAGACAATGAATGTAGTGTCTAGGACAATAGTTTGCATACTAATAGTTTTCACGGAATTAAAGACTGACTCTTTGTATAAGTACAGGTAAAATGCAAGCATGTTTGAACTGTTTGACCAGACATAGGAAATTAGGGTCCAGATGGAGGATATTGAAAGCAGTTGTATACTTTTTAAAGTTATTTTTAAAAGAGTGCTGTTAGTCAGACATTTTTCATTGCCTTGATAAATCCATGTGGAAAATGATTTAAGGTAGCCAGTATTTACTTTGGCTCACAGTTTTAGAGGTTTCAGACGATAATTCCACTGCTTTTAAGGCTTGTGGCAAAAAGGTAGAAAGAGCCTGGGGGAGGGGAGCAGCAGAGAAAAGATGTTCACCACATAACAGCCACGAAGCAGAAAAAGACTACAAAAACGACCCATGGGCAAGGTAATCCCTTCAAGGGCATGCAATCAGTGGTGTCTCTGTAAAAATAGTTTATTTTTTTTCTTGCTTTGAGACATTAGCAGATCCTCTACCACTTGAACTATACTCCCAGCTATCTTCTCAAATTTGGAATATCAAACAAGTATTCTGGTTTTACCTGGTTTACAAATTATGTAATATTTTAACTACTTGCTTAGTGACTAAATGAAAGATGTATTAATTGTAAAGGAAGACTAATAATTACTTCCCAGTGTTATTATTATCACCATTATTATTATGCTGTGATATAAGAAAATATAGGCAATAAGCATAAGAGTACATGCATTTGTTAGAAAAGAATCAATTCATATTTCTTCACTATTATTATTTTTAAGTAGTTGTACAAACAGTTACAATTTTGAAGGTCAGGTTACATGCATATAACTTCAAGAAGTAGTTATCACCAGCTATAAATTACATTCTCTTATGATAAAGTTTCAAAATAAAGTTTCAAGTTTTATATATTCATATAAAACTCTAAACTTTTGAATTAGATTTATTTTAGTCTAATAACATATAGCATAATAATAAATTATCATAGAACTATTTTGTAATCAAAATATGCAACAAAGTAACCATGGGAGAAGCCTAATTATTTATAATGAGTCAGTTCTAATGTTACTGTCAATTCACTTATAGATGTTCAGATGTTCCTTGTCTTCCTATGTTCTTTAATGTAGATACTTTAGGAAAATAATAAGAGATTGGAAATAGAAACTCTTAGTACCATCATTATCATTACACTATTTAAGATGTTTAAATTTATTTTATGAACTAATGTTCTTAAACAGTCATGTCAACACATAGAACATAGATGGGAAAATTTACATCATCATCAGGCATGATGATTCACTTCTGCAAAATACAATTGTATATTTCCTGTGGTGTTCTGATTATTTTAATGGTAAGCAGATTTAAAGAGATGATTACATTGCAGTGACCAGGACAAATGCCCCAAAACGTGGTGAAATGAACAGTCATTATAGAATGCAGGAATGTCTACAACTCAATTTTTATAGTAGGATGGAGACTCCTATAGACTTGACCTTCAACTTCAAACAAGAGTCACTCTGTTCTTTTTAATTTTGACTTCAGCTACTCTCTCTCTTTGGCTCTCTCACACATCTCTCAACTTTTATGGTACGAAAGTTAATAGGACCTCACAAGTTGTAGGGCTCAAATGAATTGCCTGCATTCATTGATGTCTTTAGACTTGTTTCCTTTTCTCATGATTTGAACTTTGTCCTTTTCATGCAACAAACATCCTGCTTAATCCAGTCATATACTAGGACTATAATATGGCAAAACATTCTGACTAAATGATAACCACAACTAGATATTTGTAAATATTGGAAAGTACTGTAAGTTTCAAAGAATTTTACATCTTATACTTTAGTACTTCTTAGATCCTTCTCTTTCTTTCTCTTTCTCTCTTGTCTCTTTTAGTGCCCAAAATGTTTCAAAGCAGAGTTCACAAATTTTTGTTTGAAGAAAATAAAGTAATTTTTATTGTCATTATAATTTAAACAAAATGGCAAGAAGAAAGAGCATTTTATTTTTCTACTAAAATAGAAAGGGTGGGATCATAAAACAAAGGAAGCCAGGTGCCTGTGGCTCATGCCTGTAATCCTAGCTACAAAGGAGTCTGAGATCTGAGGATCACAGTTTAAAGCCAGACCCAGCAGGAAAGTCTGTGGAACTCATCTCCAATAAGCCACCAGTCAACTAGAAGTGGTGCTATGGCTCAAGTGATAGAGCACTAGCCGTGCGCTGAAGAGCTCAGAGACCGCTCAGGCCTAGATTTCAAGCCCCTTGACTGTTAGGAAAAAAAAAAGAAAATATTTAGAGGTGAATAAAATTTCATAATGAGATAAATCACATTGTTTTCACCTTATTTGTTAACTCACCAAGTACTAGTTTCTAATATTCTACTACTCAAACTGGGGACAGTTACTCTTGCCTATAATCCTAGCTACTCAGTAAGTAGAGAGAAGAAGGATTGCAATTCAAAGCAAGCCTAGGCCATAAAGTTCACAAGACCCAGATTCAACAGTGAAAACCAGGTGTGGTGATATGCCTTTCAGAGCAGCTACGACAGGAATGATAGAGGACTTAGGGCCCAGGCTGGCAGGAAGGGAGAAGGTAGAGGGAAAATGGAGAGGAGAGTGGGCAGAGAGATCCTATCTTAAAAATAACCAGAGCAAAAAGGATTGCAAAAAGTTAGCATGGTAGACTTAGTAGAATGCTTCTGTCTGATGCTAGCATGGGGCGTGGGCAAAAAAAGTCCATAAGACTCCATCACTAAAATAACCAGCAAAAAGGCTGATGGTGTGGCTCAAGTGGTAGAGTACCAGCCAAGCAAACAAGCGAGTGAAGCATGAAGTTCTGAATTTAAACGCTGGTATTGACAAAAGGTATGTTTCCATACTTTATCAGAGGTGAGATTCTTTCTGCTTCCTTCATATTGTCTTTCAGAACTATAGAATATTCAAAACCGATAATTCAAAAGTTTGATTATCACTCATTACTATATAACAATGAAGTTAGTTAGACTCTTTAATATTTATATGCTGTTGTTCAGAATAGTTGGTCTTCTTGAACAACAGTAAATCTGGGAGCAATCTCATCTAAAACCATACAAGTATTCTGACATATGCTAAATGTATATCTTCCAAGACAGACTTCCTCCAAAGACCAAACAAAGACTTACTAGAAACTTCTATTTAGATGGTGCACAAACATCACCATGTCTGCATGACAAACAAAACTCACTGAATTGTTTTCTTTCCATTATAGCTTTCCATGTGTTTTAAGATGGTTTTGACTTTCCTCTCATCCATAGAGGTGTGTGTAATCTAGAGCCTCTTCTTCACCCACAGATCCAATTAATCATTTATTATACTTTTGCTTAACACAATAATTTGTCCTGAATTTTCCTTTGATCACCTAACCACTGCCAGTTTCCTAGTTTAACTCTCTACAATATCTTCCCTGAGCATTTGTAAGTCTTCAGTGACTCTCTTCTAATAGAACATCATCTACAGGGCTACATCAATGAGCAGGTGATACAGTTTTTCCAGAGAAAACTTTCCACAGTGACGAGGCCATTTTTTTCTATCTTCTTCTCTGATCTCATGGAGAAGATAATGGAAAGAAAACAGGAACCAGAGAGAAAAGTTGCACAGTAAAAAAAGAGAAGAAATTACTGAAGGAATTTCATACTATTAGAACATATGAAATACAGAGAACCTTGAAAGATTTTGATGTCAGATGATGAAGTCTTGTAGAAATCACTATATATTCTAGGTAAGAGAGCTTTAGTAGTACAAAGGTTAAAAAATCATAAATATTTCATCCACAAGTGGTTTTATTAAAAATTTAACCTCTCAAAATGTCTGAGTCTAATATTGTTAGAAAAAAGGCATGTATCATATTTATTTTATTTTATTTTTGCTGATCATTGGTCTTGAACTCAGAGCCGAGGAGCTAGTCCCTTATCTCTTTTGCTTAATCCTAGCACTCTACCTCTTTGAGCCACACTTCTACTTTTAGTTTTTGTGTAATTTTTGAGACAAGCATTGAGTTTAAAAGTTATCACCCATTTTCTCTGGTCCTGTGTTTATGATTTCTTACAGCTTTCATGTAGTCTCTCCATCCTAATACAAATAACCAGGCCATATTTAAAATGTAGTACTTTTTATAC